GCTATTAAAGGAAAATGAAAGGGATAATTTGTTCAAAAAATAATTTATGTCATCATGTACTTGTTCCAAACTTGTATGACTTTTTTCTTGGGTGAAACAAAAAATATATAAAAAAATTAAAAGATAAATAAAAGATATTTTGCAGAATGTTCAAGCTGCTCTTTTTCAATATAATGAAAGCGGACAGAGATTACATTCTCCCTGGTTTTCAAAAAGTGCACAAAGTTATGTTGACCACGGCTGCATTTATTGGACCAAAAATACAGCATAAAACTGTATATTGTGAAATATTTGTACAATTTGAATTAACTATTTTATTTGAATATATCAATATGAATGTAGAAAACAGTTGTGCTGCTTCGTATTTTTGTGGAAACCATGATAGACTTCCATTGAAAAGTATGGAGTGAGATTAAAAATAATAATAATAATTAATACTTTTAATTCTTTTGCATTAACAGTAAAGACATTCATAATGTTTCAAAATATTTCTATTTCAAATACACTGAACTTTCTGTTCATCAGAGAATCCTGAAAAATGTATCACGGTTTACAAAAAAAAATGAAGCAGTTTTCAATTTCTCAACTGGTTGCTTGAAACATTCTTTTAAATTAATTATTTTGTGTTCCACAGAAGAAAAGAAAGTCCTACCGGAACAATATGAAGGTGAGTAAATGGTGACATAATTTTCATTTTTGGGTGAAGTATCCCTTTAAGAGCCCTGCAAAAAAAAATAAAAAATAAATCCCCCGATAGTAAAGCATCTACAATACCATAATGAAAGGAGTTAATGCTGTCCGTGTCCTGGATTTTAATCAGGCATGTGAAGAGTTACACTGACCTCCATGCACTTCCCATGCTTTGAAATTAACTCCGCTTAACACCCGCTCGTATGCATGTCTAATGCTCCAGTTTTGTATTCACAGCCCATTGCTTATTTTCCCCCCATTACTTTGCATGTCAGAAGCAGTTTGGTACTGGTGTTTAGTACAGGTTTGTGAAAGGCTAAATTTACCCGTGCTACTCGCTGAATGAGGAAGCGGAGGGATTTCACCTTGATAGGTATTTCGTTTCATCAGACAGGTTCGGCTGTAGCTTGACAGCGATGGATAATTATGGCATGCCTTAAGGGCACTACATAGGACTCACTTTCAGACTATATATGAAAGACATTCCAAGGCAGCATACTACATAATGCATTAATACTTCAGATACTGTAGACCTAACACCATCAAGAGACACCATGCAGCATTTGATGTTTACTAATCTTTCCATGTGGACAGTGTAGAACAGAGTGAAGGATTGTATTCATCAGGGATTTACTAATCAACAAGCAATTTTTTCCATCTGCAGTTCCATCAAGTTTTAATATTCTCAGGTTGCTTGTTATTTGTTAGAGTCACTGGCGAGTGACTTGCCATATTTTTTTCCCTTATGGCAAAATAGCACTTAAAAGACAGCTACGGACTGTGTGGAGCAAACAAATTATTCAATTTTCACGCCTCAGTTGTATTAAAACTGCAATTAACACCGGTATTCTTCCTATTCACCAGATAATTAAAATATGCAAAATCACTGCAGCATTGTCTGTATGGCCCCATTACACTTGCTTCCACACACAGAAGCAAAAAACACAAACCAGTCAAATTAATTTAGCAGCAAATATTAGATTAAACTGCTTACTGCACATACTGTGACAGCACGCTACGAATGTGAACCACTACCTCAGGGTTGCTGCAAAACACAAAAGAACTATTTACATTCACTTTTATATAAATAATTTGTATTAAGCACACTATTAGCATAAAGTAGCACTCCTTAATTATTCCTGTAATGTGAACATCTTTGGAACAACAGAAATTCAATTTGGTCAGAGCTCAATTTTTGAGATTTTACAAGAAAATACTATTTCAGCTTTTCCACTTAAAATTTGAATGTGTTACTTTCCATTTCATTGCAATTATTTGTGAAATGTACTAGCAGTTTCTGAGAGAAAACGTAAGAAATTTTCAAAATATGACATTTTTTACAGATATATTCTTAGCAACATGATTTTGTGTGTCATTATTTTTTTTAAATGTATTGATGCTAACTAAATACTTTTTTTGCAAGTATAACTGTATATGTATTTTATGTATTATATATAGATGCTAACTGAATACTATTTGAGCAAAACCTCAACAATGTTAGCCAGCTATTTGCCATTGCCTACTATTTAATTCAGCAGAACTTGCAACAACATTATTTAATACATTGCAGAAAACCAAATTTTTAGGTAGGTATGGCTGACTCTTAACTTTTATAAAGAATATCTCTTTGGATTTGAGACTTTACAGATATTCTTTATGCACCAAGAGCTTGTAATACTCCAAAGAGAAAAGAAAAATTGAAGTCGCATCATATGACCCCTTTAAAAGCCATAAAAACGTATGGCCATGGTCAAAAATCTTAAGATGATACAGTGATACTGGTCGGCAATCAGGCCATCCTTCCAGTTGACCAACTTTCCTTTTTAAAGGTCAAGTCATGCATCACTAATGTCACCAAACAGGACCGCAAAACTAATTTACAAATTTTTTTTAAAAAGTAACCCATTGGTGAAGTCAATGTTATGGTGTCAAACCCAGTTAGGCCTTTCAAAGAAGCACATTGCAATTCTATTTGATGCTACTGATGGCTCAGAAATGACACAATCATTATGGTATATCGATCATGAATATATTTTGTAAATTTCCTACTGTAAATATATTAAAACTTAATTTTGATTAGTAATATGCAATGCTAAGAACTTCATTTGGACCACTTTAAAGGCGATTTTCTCAGTATTTTGATTTTTTTTCACCCTCAGATTCCAGATTTTCAAATAGTTGTATCTCGGCCAACAAACCATACACCAATTCAGATTATGTATAAATCTCAATTTCGAAAAATTGACCCTTATGACATATTGGAAATAATTCTATACAATCTCCTCTACTAGTGTTAGACTATATGGCTGTGATCTCTCAGTTTGGTGTGATTGATATTTTGCGTTCACCTAGCCTTTTATAAAGATCAGAAGAAATGAAGGATTATTTGAACAGCATTTTGGAGATTAAGGGAAACCTCATGCTGGCCTTTAGATGTAATGACACTGCTGTAGTCACTCCAGATTGACTTTATTTTGCTAATCATTCCTGTGGTTAATGAGGCCGTGACATTTGATTGGAGGTTGACCTTTGTGCTGAAATATAATTCGACATGCATGGATGTATGTAAGTTTCCATTCAGGGGAGTCGTAAACTTGTTCTTGCTGGTATATTACTCACCATGAATCTAATTTTATGGGAGTCTTTATTGGTAATATCTTTCGCAGCTAATGTAATCTATGGCATGCTAATGTGCAAAACTTGCGAAGATGAATAACTTCGCAGTACTGCAGATCTGTAGTGTAGAATTAGGGGATTCAAATTTATTTTTCTGCAAATCGGCAATGTGTCTGTTTTAGGGGTCATGCTATCTGTCTTTTAATATGGCTGGTGCTGAACCACGCTGTTGTGTAAACTTAATTGTGCGTTAAACTTTTGCCCACTGTGTACACTATAACAGATCTCAGTGCACGGCATACACCGATAGTGTCAAGCCAATTTGTAGAACGTGTCAAGACACTTCCCCTTTTGCACAGATTTATGGAGCACAATAGTTGATCTACCCAGAAGGACTTCACACTGAATGGATGACTAGCCTAATGCTGTGCAATACCAAACACAGAGGACAGATTGCAGCCTAATGGCAAACATGAGAGCTAATGCCAATCATCATCCTTCTAGGACAGAGAATAGAATAATCTCCCCAGGATTCACAAATACTACTGACGGATACTGAGGTTGCCATATGTAGGCTACTCTGTCATGCAGTACCAAGGCCTAGATTATGCAATGGAGCCAAAGATGATAAATGTAACAGCAAAAGTGCATTAAAACCATCTTGCTGCCTTTGTGCCCAGTCAGTTAATGACTAAACAAGCAACATTTTGCGTATGAAAACTGGTTTCAGGCTTCCGGGGCTCCAGAACATCAAGAAAGATTTAGAGATGATTACGATGCTTATTTCTCAGTAGAAACTGAGTGTTGAAAAAATGCACTATATTGCATAAAAATGAAAGGAAACTATGCTGCCTTTAAAACTGGCCAAGTGAAATCAACTGGCCATTTAGAATTTAAATTATAATTGCCTTTTAAATTCCAGTTAAATTCCTAAATTTGAATTGAAAATTGCCGTTCAAATTTAAGAGTTAACATGAATTGTAATTGAAAGAACATTAAAATTATTTCTAATGGATAATATAACAATGAAGACTGGAGTAATGGCTGCTAAAATTCAAGTTTCTGTTAATTTAATTAAATAAATGCAGCCTTGATTTATAAGAGACTTACTTCAAAAACACTGTATTCTTCTGTCTACTTAAGAAACTTTTAGCCACAAAAAGCAAAAGTGACACATCTCCACTTTCACAAAACTTTTAAAATAGCCTATTAACCAATATGACAAACTTTCAACACCAGCAAATTGTGTTATTTTCTCCACATTTGCTTATTTTCCATAATTTTACAGCAGCTGAGGTTTTTCACAGCAACATTTTAAGACTAAGCCAATATTTTCACCAAAAAAAAAGCTAGCTAGATGCACACTCTTGGCCCTTCGACAATTCAACCACCTTCTTTGCTGTAAATTACCGAGCAGTTGTGTGCCAATTACAGCTTTGTGAGTATTTTCCACCCTCAGTTTTTCAAAGAACCCACACAGTGTTTTTGATGCACTGCATTGTGGTTCGAGACCCAAAGACCTCTGCGCCATGTTCATGAATAATCTTAAACCGGCCCCTAAAAATATCTCTTTGTGTTTTGCCGCCTCTGAATTAAAAAATACACAATCAAACATAAGCTGATTAAGTATCTTACATGGATTAAAAAACAAAAGCTAAACGAAGAAACAGTTGCCATTCAGATTTATGCCCTACCTGGTGTGTCCCCAAAAGGTTTCGGTGGTTTGGCAGTCACTCTGGAGTTGCTTGGCTGTGTGGTGCTGTGCCTCTTAGGATGCGCGGTTGTAATCACCGCATACGTCCTTTGGGGGCTGCGTGTGGTAGTGCTAGTTACGGTAACTGTGGTGGTGGAAGGGGCTAAAGAGGTGATGGTGGCATTCGGGGTCACTTTCGCCTCCTCCTCATGCCCCTCGTCAGCCCCTGTAGGGCCCCAGTCTATAAATCCTGCCACTGTGGTGGTCCTCCCCTCCAGGGAGTCATAGCCGTCCCCTTTCAGCTGCCTCCGTGAGCGAGATAAATGCAGATTTAAATCAGATTTACTCCACTCTGGTAATGCAACCGACTTCCCTTTGTCAGAGGGGCACTCCGCGCAAAGTTGTTGTTTTTGGAGTGACCTGCGGTTTTTCCGCCCCCACAGTTTGGTGCCCCCCAGCTCCCCGTGATTGCCTAGTGATGGCAAGGGAGGGGGAATGCCACGATGCAAGACACCCAGAGTCCTCAAGTGCTGGCCGGTAAGCGTGTCCCGAGTGGGCAGAGGGTGCGGCTGCCAGCGGGGCACTGATCTGGGCAGTAGTTTGAGGGTGAGCCCTTGGCCTGCTGGTGCACACAGAGACAGATCCATTGTGAGATGGACAAGGATGAAGAGGATCCACATTCTACATCCCAGCATTCCTCCAGGTCTCCAAGCAACCATGGAACTGAAGAGCAGAGAAAGAGAGAGAAGGAAATCAGCCGCATTGGAGAATCTTAATCAGTGCGTCTTTTATACATCACAGAGAGAGTATGCAGGCTCGGCAAAATTTACACAACTTTTTTACCTTAAAGACTGTCTTATTAGATCTTTCAAGGACTGACTACAGTAGATTGGGCTTTTAATGTCCTTATTTCCAACACCATTTTCCAGTCAAGCGATTTTCGCTCTAGGCTTCGTTCTGCTCTGTGACTCACTAAGTTCTCATAAATTGAACTCCAATATTAATTAGATGTGTGATTCCCCTTTAACAGCTAGATGCTAAATGCACACTTCAATGTTGTTTTCAAAGACATTTACTTTCAAAGTCTTAGCCTGCACTCTTCAGTTACTTTGCTTTGTAAACAAACGTTCCACTGGCTGAATTGGTCTCATGGTGCTAGCAACGTAAAAATCATAGGTTTGCACGCTCTAATAAAACATATTGCTTGAATGCACTGCATACTGCTTTGGATAAAAGTGTGCCAAATGTCTGTTATTTATTGGTATCTCATAAAATTAGAGTCTGCACGTGATACAATGTTGGGCTACAGATAAAATACAAGTGCAACTATAAAGTGTATAAAAATAATTTTATGTATAAAAACTAATTTATATTAAATTGTGAAAATTTTCTGAAATTACGTAAAAAGTCCAAATTCAAATAGAATTTTATTAAAACGTAATATATAAAACTACTCATAAACTATATCCAGATATTTTGTTCCTACATGTTACCTTCCTTTTTGTCTTTTGAAAGCAGAATGAAATACAGTAGTCAACATTTGAAGTGGATCAAAAAAGTTAATCAAAGTCCTAAGACAAGAACACATTTTGGTTTTAGGTTTTAGGACAACTTTGATGAAAGGTTTTGATCCACTTCAAATGTTGACTAATGAAGTATGATCAAATTTGGTGGTTTAAATAATAATAATAATTCATTAATAATAAAACATTATTATGGCAGTCCTACAAAAGCATTTTGTAAAAAAAAATTCATAGACACCCTTACACCCCCTTGTGGTCCCCTGGGGGTCCCTAAAACCACTTTGAAGACCTCTAGTGAAATAACAAACTCCTCAAACCTCAAAGTGTCCAACTTCCACTGTGATGGCTTCTTTTAGCTGAACTACTTCTTGAGGGGTGCTGTTTTTTCAATTCCAGAACCTCAAACACATTGAAATGAGCTGTCACACTCATATCTAGAAGCCAAGAATCTATCTTGATCCAGACAGAAAGAGAGTTCATCAAGGCATATCTGTAATCTTTTCTGTCCTTTGATAATATTGGTCACGGTCAAAGGCTAATTTAGAGGGATTAAAGAGCCCACACTTGGCCACACATACTATCAAGGGCCTTTCTGTTGCTGTGAGTTAAGAGATGACAATTTTATAGAGTTATCTGACCCACTGGTAAACCATCATATCTGAAGTCCAACACAAAGTAAAATATGAGTCATACTTGAAAATTATATACTAAAACGGTTTATAAAGCCACGAATTGAAAATAATATAGATTCCCTTTTCATCTAAAGAGCACTTTCCATTTACCTATACTTAAGAGCTTGTTTGATATGCTGCTTCATCTGTTCATGAATAAGATGGATTCCTCAAGCATACTACGAGAGGGCCCTTGCTCTCCACTTTCCCCTCTTCTAGCCTCTCTTTACATTTCTCTCTCACTTTCCATTCGGGGAAAAAAACATACTTGTGGGATCTGGTCTGACTGAACTGGGTCAGGACCTTGGGTTGACCACTCATCTGAGAGATTTTACCTCACTAATAAGGTCCTTCAATCCCATTGGGCTGGGCCCCGGGGGGCCTGACTCACACTCCTTGTGCTAATGTGTTCCATTAGAAAGTAATTCCTGTCAGGAACATCATTGTATTTACTTAAGGAGACGTATCGGAACCGATGTTGTGCTATTAATGATCACCCGTCCGCTGGCTTTTGATGAAATTAGGTGGCTACATTGTGAATTCAAGGAGGCTGCTGTGATACTAATGAGGGCTAAATTAAGGGTCACGCAAGACAGGGTGTGAATGAGAGTGAGAAACTTTGAGGACAGCTTTGCATGAACAACCCCTCCCTGCTCTTTACTTATAACGCATCAGCTAAGATTCGGGTCACTTCAGCATGATGCAACCCATTTAGATTCAGCATTGTAATTCAACACGCCGCCCACAAAGCAAAGGTCTTGTTTATATTTAGATTTTTAAAGAAACCAATTTGAATTCACAGACTACAAACAGACACTTTCAGGGTTTAAAATGAGCTTTTTTTGCCACGCAAGCCAATTAAGATGACATAGGCAAACCTCTTCCAATTACTTTCATATGAATATTCTCTAAATTTGTGGTGACATTTCAGCAACTTGTGACTGATTTCATTGTATCATGAATATAAACATATCCTGTCTTACAGTTCAAACCAAGTAATGTTAAAGTTCTTAATGAAGATACCGGCCAACTGGCGAATTATTGTTTTGTTTATTCAACGAATTTGCATTCTGCACATGTTTGCGAGACACTGAAAATGAGTAAATAAATTGAAAACACATAAAAAATAAATAAATAAATGCAATAAATTAAAACTACAAGGGACAGAGACAGGAATAAAGTAGATGAATAAAGAAGATTTTCCTTTTGAATATTCATTAGGCTAATGTTCACTATGTTTGCAAGCTTGCATCAGATTTGTGCATAGTTGCTTAACTTTAACAGCAGCACAAATATAGACTATAGAATAAATGAAAGCGCTAAAAGAACGTGTTTCCTGACACAAGCAAGTTAAAAGAAGCAGCTCGGGAGTTCCTAAAAAGTTAAATGGAAAATATGCTATCTGAAAAAGCCTGAAAGAAAATGATAAGACCATCTATACTTTTTCCATCTCGCTCATATCCGCTCTGTTAAAAGTAAAGGGACTAACATTATAAACACAGAATGAACTGATCATGAGTTTCACCAAAGTCCTTTAAGACCATCTTCATAACACCCCAGACAGCTACTTCTAGTCACATGCTGCAAAATACATGCTTCACACCTTTAGTGATATTAGCACAATTTTATTAGCACAAGTTTACAAGTTAAACTTTACTCACCATCAGGCCATCCAAGATGTAGATGAGTTTGTTTCTTCATCAAAACATATTTTTAGCAAATTTTCATCCTTATGATCATATTCTCCAGCATGATTCGAAATGATCCAAAGAGCATCTTGAGCTCTAGAACATCTGACTGTCTGATCAATGTTAAACTTGATTAGCAACCAAGAAATAGTGCAGAATCTTAAATATTTCTGTTCCTTTTACACTATAACATTGATATTTTTTATCCTAAACCTTTATCTTATTTTACAAGTCTATATAAATTTTTCAGTCTCATATTTTCGATATGGACTCAGACTTTAGGACTGAAGATTACGAAGGAATATCAAATAATAATGACTATTCTATATCTAAATACACATGCAAGCCCAGTATATATCCAGAGGGATTATGGTAAGCACTGTCCCAGGTTACTATTAATGAGATGGGAGGTTTTGGTAGATGAGCATATGGCTGGTGGAAAATTCAGGAACATCCAGTACTAGTTACTCAGCTGTCTTCACATCCGATGAGTGAATTTCTTCACACAAGACAATCAAGTGCCGTGATCTCGTTCCATTACAAATCCTCACACATACTCTCTAGACACAAGACGAAACTTGAGAAACCCGACCAGAATGGTTTCTGACGGCAAGCCAAATGCTCACTGACATATGACTCATGGGCTGATTTTTCAGCTGAATTACACTTCAGAGAAGTGTTGCAAATAAATATGGATTCCATGCCTGCATTTTGGATAAACGGTCAGCTTATATCTGAGTCAGTCTGATCCTCTTACAGCCGACTGAATCCTTGGATCAGTCACTTGGTTTATCCTAAGCAGAGTGAAAATAATGAAAATGTAATTGAACAGGTAGAATTATCTGTAATTACAAATATTCCATACTAATCTATTTTATAAGATAACTAGCCTGTTGTAATTGTGAAATCAAAAGGGTTAACTTACTACCAATAAGATACCATAAGATATTGTGTATGTATAAAATACATAGGCTCATTAAAACATCCACCTATTGTCTTGCTTATTTTTTCAAAGGTAATTACGTTAATAATCATAAGTATTTGTAAAATATAATTTTTTTATGATGGTGAATGAATTACTCAAAAACAATCCCACTGCAACACTCATTTAGCTGTAAATGATGGAGAAATGGCCATTTAAATAGGCAAAATTATTTATAAATGAAATCCAGATGGGACTAATAAAAGTAAAGTTGTATGCACTCTATGTTTGACTGAATGTAATTATTATTAAACCTTGCATAAAATATAGGCAGATAATGTTTCTCATTCCAAATATACATTAAAAAGTGAATATCAATACTAATTAGACCACACTGTAAAACATACCATCATTGAACACAACTGCCCTTGTCTTTCATATATGGTTCATAAATGAACTGGAAGGATTTCACATTTCATATTTAGAGACTGGCAGTAATGAACAGGCAGCTGTCGTCCTCACATTGGCCCGTTAGCACATGAGCGTATAAGAGCACTGCATCAGAATATGCTTCCTGCTGGATCACTGGGATGTAAATGGATGTTTCACATGCTCTGATCTATATGCTACAGTGTGTGTGTGTGTGTGTGTGTGTGTGTGTGTGTGTGTGTGTGTGTGTGTGTGTGAACCACTGGAGAGCTCAGCTTGTGTGTGTTGTGACTGTGGGGGAGATATCTCCAACAGCCTTGCACTGACATTTCATATCCCTGCCACAATGATGACAGAACATGACTCCCTCTTCACACATACGCCCTCTCAACACACATACACACACACACACACACACACACATAGACACATACAATGCCTCAGAGAGAGAGAGAGATAGAAAGACAACTAAAAGACAAAAGGCTTGTAA